TTCCTCGTGGATTGTTAGATTATCCACTGTCTGTTAGTCAGAAAGCCGTCACCTGCACTGTCATCTTAGGCTAGCTGGCTGAACCACTGGGGGGGCAGGGCAAGTCAGCAGGGTCCAGAAGGATTTCAAAGGGAATTCTTCATTACCTTAAAGAAAAAAAAGTCAACTATGCCAAATATTAACATTTGTTCACTCCGGAATATGAAGAGGCATCCATGTGAGTACCTTGCTTGAAGCTTTAAAAAATTCATTAAATATATTTAATGTATTAATATAACGTATTCAATGTATTTGCGTTTTGTTGTTATGGCACGGGGGATGGACCCCAGGCCCTTGTGCATGCTAGGCCAGCGCTCAATCACTGAGCCCCACACTCCCGCAACCCCAATTTATTATTTTATTACCAACCAGTACTTTGCTCTAAGTTTTAAATAGTTCATTGATTTTTTTTTTCCATTGTCAACCAAGGTTAGGGAATTTCTAATACAGGCAAAAGTTGGGTTCCTAACTGGGCATGGTGGCGCACACCTGTAATCCCAGCGACTCCGGAGGCTGAAGCAGGAGGATTGAAAGTTCTAGCCAACCTTAGCAACTTAGTGAGGCCCTGTCTCAAAAAATGGGCTTACTGGGGCCGGGGTTGTGGCTCAGCAGTAGAGTGCTCACCTAGTGTGTGTGAGGCCCTGGGTTTGATCCTCAGCATCACATAAAAATAAATAAATAAAATAAAGGTATTGTGTCCAACTACAACTAAAAAATAAATATATTTTAAAAAGGGCTTAGGATGTAGATCAATGGTAGAGTGCCCCTGGGTTCAATCCCCAGTACTACCCCCCCCACACCAAAACAAAACAAAAACTTCCTCATAGTTTAATATCCAGAGCAGCCAATTTATCTGCTCATTCTGTGGTCTTGGGAAGTACTGAAGCTTTTCTTGGTCTCAGGTCCCTCCCCTAACAAAAAAGAAGCTGTGAGGATCCAAATATCCATCAAGTCCATCAACAAGTGAATGAATAAGCAAAACATGATCCATTCATAGGAAGGAACAAGGTCCAGATTCCTGAAAAAATCCAGGGGCTGAAGATCACACGTTCTATTCATAGGAAATGTCCAGAACAGACCAAAACAGAGAGGCAGATTGGCAGTTGTCAGAAGTTGGAAGGACGGATGAGTAGGGGGAGTCTGCTAAAGGGCACAGGGTTTCTCTTTGATGCGGTGAAAACGTTTTTGAAAGTAGACAGAGGTCATGTTTGCACACCATCGTGAAGGTCCTAAATGCTTCTTCTGCATTGTGCCCTTAAAAGTGAGCGTTATGTGAATTTCACCTCAATTTAAAAGAAGGGTGGGGAGAGGTTACACTTCCTGGAGTTACTGAGGATGGATACAAAGCCCCAGGCCCTGTGCCCTGCTGGTCCCATTATTGCTTCGTCATTTCACTCACCATGGAGGAAGGTGAGGTTGGGCTTGATGAGTGTGTGTTTGCCTTGTAAGTCAAGTTTACGAGGCCAAGGCCCTACAGCGAGTCAACTGGACTTTGCACTAGAACTTGGCTCTTCCAAACTGCATGTCCAGAACAAATCCTTCTCTCCGTGCTGTGTCTCCCATCGGATACTTGAACCGCATTTTGCTATCTACATAATAGCTGTCCTCCCACGATCTGCTAACACTGCCGCCACTTCATGGCTCAATAAGCCAGGTTCTGTGGCTTTGTAGCTGTGTCTTTAGTCAAGCCGCCTAATCTCTCTGACTTTTTGTTTGATAAGGTGGGAATGATGACTTACCCTGTGTGCTATGAGGGAATGAGACAGAAGGTACAAGTAAGGCAGGTGCTAGGTCAGCCTAGTCCAGAGCAAATACTGGAAAAATGATACCATAGTATTCTTGCCCCAAAAGTTACCTCCGGCAAAGCACTTAACAGAGCCTTTATGACAGAGATTGGTCACTCCAAATGTGAACAGTGCCCAGAAGCAAACAAGCCTCTCTGCCAGCCTGGTTCCAAATGACAGCGAGATCCGCCCTCCCTAGACAGGGACAGCTTGCTGCTTTTCCCGCCGTGGAGTGACTCATTTTGTGAAGCTAAGGAACATTTAGCAAGGCGGTAATCATCCTAATTTCTCTGCTGGGTAAGTCCAGATGGAAGTGTATTTGGGTCTTCTCAGGCACGGCCAAAGTCAGCACAGGTTCCCTGAGAGCCAAGGCTGGTGCAGGAGATTTCGAACAATCTGCTTATACCCCATCCTCTCAGAAGGCTCCTGGAAGTGTCCCAAAGGCCCCCCTCTCCCTGATCCCAAGAACAGGTGTGATGGCAGATTCACTGGATGTACATCTTGGCCCTGGCCCTCCCTAGCTGGGTTACAAATGATTTCCCCTGTTACCTAACTCCCAAAGAGGCCAGCAAGACCAGGAGCACAGGGGCTGGCACATGGTAACTGCGTCATCAACATTATTATTATCTCCCTGAATACTCTAGAAGGTATGTTCTCACAACAGCCTTCTTGACCAGGTGGTATCGTCCCCATTTTGAAGATAAGAAAACTGAGGCTCAGAACAGGAAAGCCACATTTTCAACAGCCTCTTTTATGGGCTTACAACTTCCACCCCCACCTACCAGCAGCCCATTTTCATCCCAGAAACCAAAGATCTTTTGCCAATGAAGTCAGACTTCATTTAGAAGATGCTGCTGGGTTATGTGGTGTTTTATGATCCAGTGTTTTCTTACTTTCTTTTTCTTCTTCCTCTTCCTCCTTCTCCACCCCTGCTTCCTCCTCCTCTTCCCCTTCCTCTTCTTCTTCTTCTTCTTTTTTTTTTTTTTTTTTGTTGTTGTTGTTTTTGTGGTGCAGCCTGAATCACCACTTCTTTATAATTTAGGTGTTAAGGAAAATTAAGAACAAGGGCTGGGGTGGGGCTCAGTGATAGAGCACTAATACATGTGAGGCACTGGGTTTGATCCTCAGCATCACATAAAAATTAACAAAAGAAAGTTATTGTGTTCATCTAGAGGGAAAACTTTTTTTTTTTTTTTTTTTTTGTTACCGGGGATTGAACTCAGGGGCACTCAACCACTGGGCCATATCCCCAGCCCTATTTTGTATTTTATTTAGAGACAGGGTCTCACTGACTTGCTTAGCGCCTTGCCTTGCTAAGGCTGGCTTTGAAATCGTGATCCTCCTGCCTTAGCCTCTGGAGCAGCTGAGATTATGGGTGTGAGCCACTGCGCCCAGCAATAAAAATATTTAAAAAAAAAAATTAAGAACAAGGCTGGGAGGGGCTGGGGTTGTGGCTCAATGGTAGTGCACTTGCCTAGCATGTGTGACGCACTGGGTTCAGTTCTCAGTACTACATACAAATAAATAAAATAAAGGTCCATCAACAACTAAAAAATATCAATTAAAAAAAAAAAAGAACAAGGCTGGTGTTACAGCTTGGTTGGGAGAGTGCTTGCCTCGCATGCACAAGGAAGGCCCTGGGTTCAATCCCCAGTACCACAAAAAAGAAAGGAAAAATAACTGATTGTACATGATTGTATAAAATGCTTACATCCAGGGGATATTGAGTGAAAGGTACATGGGAACTCCCTATACCATCTTCACAACTTCTCAGTAAATATAAAATTATTCTGAAGTAAAAAGTTTGTTTTTAGCTGGGTGCAGTGGTGCACATCCGTAATCCCAGCTACTTGGGAGGCTGAGGCAGGAGGATTGCGAGTTTGAGGCAAGTCTGGGCAACTTAGCAAGACCCTTTCTCAAAATAAAAAAGAAAAAAGGATGGGGTGCAGCTCAGCAGTAGAATGCCCCTGGGTTTGATCCCCGATGTCAAAAGAAAAAAAAAAAGAAAGCATAAGTGTTTAGGAAATAGATGTTTAGCATGATTTGAACACTATACAGCATATACACATATCCAAACATCACTTGCTACTCCATTAATGTGCATAATTTTTATGTTTTTATGTATCAGTTAAAAATCTTTTTAAGAAGATGCTTCCTTTTTTTTTAAGCCAGTGTCTGCCCAGAAGATGTGCACTTTGTCAGAGAGATTGCACCCACATTTCTCCCCAGGGTTCCCCACTTTGTACAAAACCTCCAGAATATCGAGGGAGATACAGACAGGCTGGCAACCCTCATCAACTTCTTCCAATCATTTAACAACAATCCCAATGCTCATTACAGTGGGAAGAGGTGGGGGAGTTCAACCCCCACCTTCCAGAACAGAGTCCCAAACTATTGGCCTGGGGCCAAAGGTAGCCTACAGATCCACTGTCCGCCTCACACTCTGTTTTTGAAGAGTTTGAGTTCATGACCAAATTTTAAAACTGGAACATTTCCCACAAAAATCCATATGTCCAAGTTTTTCTGCAAGAGGATCTGGCCACGCTGGGTCCAGGTTTCCCATGAGGCCCCAGTGGGCTGGAGCTAAGACCACAGGGCTCCCCCCACCACCCCAGTGGGATGTGACTCCCTAGTTCACCCCAGTCCCCACCTAGCTGGCTGAATTATTTCATATTATTGGCCTCATTCCTTTAGACACTGGGATACCCTGCCAAGACCAAGTGTCTATAGAGATATTGTTGGTTTTCAGTAAGTTAGCCTCACCCCTCTCCCTTAATCTTATTTTGTAAGCTCCAGGCTGTCTTTAGCAGCCCCCTAAGAATGCCCTGTGGATCCAAGAAGACAGTTTGAAATGGACCTTTTAATCCACTGTCATGTTAAAGACAGGCAAATCGAGGCCCAGAGAAGGGAAAGGACAAAGTTGGACACTTTGTGGCCAACTGCTTTGCTTGCTGGTCCCTAAGGAAGCAGAGACTGTGGATCACAGCAGAAAAAGGAAGGGAACGGGTTCCTTCCTCTGCCAGCTGCTTGGGCTCCCTGGTGAGTTCTGTCACTCTGGGGCCAGCTGATTCACTTAGGTGTGTGCTGGTAAAACTGGACCCTGGAGAGGACAGCAGGTGGAGAGAGGCTGAAGTCCTCCTGTCCTCAGGATGTGGATAGAGGTCAACACACCTGCCATTTTGCATAGGGAAAACCATGGCACATTTACTGTGGGCGCAAGCACGTTTCAACCAGTCATCCCATCTGGTTCCACAATGATGCTATGTCTAATGTGTGTCAGGGCTTGTGACAGCCTCTGGATCTTTGCTATATAGATTTACTGAATACAAAACAGGGCTGTGCTTCCAGGCTGTCCTGAGTTCCAGTCTTGCTCTCTTATTTCCCAGCTGTGTGGCCTTCAGCAATTAGCCTCTCTGTGCCTTGATTTCTTCATCTGTAAAATGGGGTGCTAGGAATAGTACATACTCCCTGGGGTTGTCTTGAAGATGCAATGAGATAATTTTTGGCACACAGTAAGAAAATGAGTTCAGTATTCTTTTTTTTTTTTTCCCTGACACTTATCAGAAGCTGAAATTTTTATTTGCATCTTTGTTTATTGTCTGTCTGGCTTACCAATGACTCTCCATGAAAGAAAGGCCTTGTCTGACTTACTCAACCCCTGCTTCACCGCCCAGAACAATGTCTGGCACAGTAGGTGTTCCATAACTATTTGTCCACGTAGTGAATCTCGGTCTTTCATACTCCTGCTCCAAATGCCATAGCAATGATACACCCTGCCCGGGAGGAGCCCAAGGTCTCCTGGAGTTGGGCAAGAGCCATCGTGACCTCCACAGGCAGATGTTCACAGCAGCGCTGGGCACCAATCCCAAGAGTCATCAACTGGGCTCAGTGCCTTAGGCTGACTTCGTGTGACTTCTGGTGGGCACAGCCTTAGCACGGGAGAGCGAGTTGGTGACTGGACAGTGGAGTGTGCAGCTGAGGAGTCAGGGGAGCCCTGAACCTCAGCAGTCGAGGGTGAATGGATGCCCAGGTGGCAGTCACCTCGATGGCATCCGGGAAAGGGAATCCGTGCATCCAGCGTGTCTTGAGAAACAAAATGAATCTCTCCGCGGAAGGAAGGGGCTTTGTAAAGCAATGCCGGAAGAAACAGATAAACGGAAAGGTCAGGAAAGGAAGCAGATGTGTCTGCTCAGCGTGGGCGGCGCTTCCAAACCCAGCCGAAGGCGACGCGCAGCCCCCGGGGGGTGGCACAGTTTGGGGGCCCCCTGGAAAGGGACGCATTTGGAGAGGCTGAGGAGCCGGAGAGGGACGCACCTAAGTTCCTCTGGGAGTCTGCAGAGCCCGGGACCCGCCTGAACAGCCTGCCTCCGTAAAGTCGCTTTCCTCTTCCGCCCTGGGGCCCCGAAGCGCGAAATGTGCAAATTCTCCTTTTATCTGCTGCACGCTCTCGTTCAACTTGGCTCAGGCTGGAATCAGGGTAACCGTTCCGATGATTACATAACTTTGCGAGTTCAAGAAAGATAATCCAAAGATAGGAATGACATTTTATTTTAGAGGACGGGTTCCCCCCACCCCCCAGGGGTTCCAGAAGCGCGCGCACACAAAAGTGATATTCAAGCACCCATATTCCCACCACTCACAGGAACTAGCTAACATTTTGGCATATATGTGTGGGTGGTAGTGAGGGGTTGCTTTTCTTTTCTGTTTTTAACTTAGCCCCCAAATAAGTTTTTCTCTCCCCCCAACATCCATCGTATCAGAATTAAAAATACGTCAACCTACTTCTCTTTATTATCATCCAGCTCCACCTCACCCCACACTTATCTTAAAGGGTAAATTCCAGGACCTCCAAAATGCCTCGGTGGGCTCTCACGTGGCCAGGTCTGTAAACCTCTGGCCTCTGCGAGCAGGATCCACCGAGGGATACAATCTCATTCTCACAGCGCACAGCAACACTTCCTCCCCTAGCCCCAACTCCCGCGAGCAACTTTGCAACTCACGCTCCGGCCAGGGGGCCTATTTGTTCGGCCCGTTTGGCGGAAGGATCCCGCGCGCGGCAGAGACGCTCAACCGTCTCCTCCGCCTCCCGCGCTCTGGCCCCGCCCCCTCCGGCGCCCTGGCCCCGCCCTCTCCTGCGCCCTGGCCCCGCCCTCTCCCGCGCGCCCTACGGCCCATAAAGAAGTCCCGGCCGGGCCGCTGCACTCCCCCGCGCGCATCCGTGCGCCGCCCGAGGCTGGCTGAAGAGTCGGCGGCCATTTTGTTCTTCTCGTGGTTCCAGTAGGGAGAGAAGGAGGAAGCAGGGAGCGGGGCGGCTGGGGGGGGACCCGCCGCGGCTGCTGCCACCGCCGCCACCACCGCTTCTGTGCTCGTGGCGTGGGAAAGGAGGTGTGAGTCCCGGGCGCTAGCCGGCGGCGGCGCCGCTGCGGGAGGGTCGGCGGCGGGAAGGCGATGGCGGATATAGATAAACTCAACATCGACAGCATCATCCAACGGCTGCTGGAAGGTGAGGGGGGTGGCGGACGGAGCGGCGCGGGCGGCCGCGGGGGCTCGGGGCAGGGCTCGGAGCCGGTTGGGCGGGCGACGCCGCGGGACCGAGCCCCGCGGAGCTGCCGGCCGGGGCGCCGCGGCGGGAGGCGGCCGGGTCCCCCCGCCCCGCTCATTCATTGCACCGGGACGCAGCCGCCCCGCGGCTGGGAGGTTTGAAACTCCGCTCCCCACCCCCACGTTTCCCGCCGCTCCGCCGCGCACCCGGCCCGCCTGGGGGCAGCGGCTGGGGGACCCGGCCGGACCCGCCGCACGGCGCGCTCCGACTTCGGTCCGCGAGCTCGAGTTTCCAGTACTCGTCCTCGCAGCTATTCGACCGTGTTGTGGGCTCCACCGGGCTCGGCGGCGTGATGGAGAAGTGACTCCTGTCTTGCTGGCCTTTGCTCTTTAATCTTTCGCCGTTCTGAGCTGGAGGGACCCGTGTCTTGCTAGTGGGCGACGCACGTTCCCATTTCCCGGGGTTGTGACACCCCTTCCCCTTCGGCCCCCGCGGCTGTTAAGTTGTCCGACCCTGGCGCGGTCTCCGCGCTCTTTTCCTGAACGTGCCTCCCGACGTGAATCCGGCGGTGAGGACAGTGTGGTCATCTGGCCAGCGCCGGGTTCGTGATTATCACTGTAATCACAACTCACGCGTCTTCAGCGCTGTGTCAGGAATTCTTTTTAAGCACTTGGTTCAGTTCTCCCGACAGCCTTGCGAGGTAGGTGCCTTTATGCTTAAAAAAAAAAAAAAAAATTAGAAGAAACTGAGACACAGAAACGAAGTCGACCAAGGCCACACAGTGACAGCAAGATTTCAAACCCAGGGAGCCAGGAGCTAGAACACCCAGGGTCGGAAGGAGGAGGTGTCCATGGTAAGGAACGCTCAAAGCGTTTAGTTTTGGCTGACCTGAGACTTGTGAGGTGCTTGGCATTTGTTTCTTAATGAGATGGGAGAGGAAAGCTGAATTGAGCAGCCCTCGGTTCAAGACAAATGCTAACCTCTAGCAGAATCCAGGCACGTCGCCTTCTTGATTTGGACACTTGATGATGTGACCTGGCCGAGTTTTAACTTATTTTGCCTTTATAACTCTCCTAAAAATATTGTTAGGTTATGCTGTGAATCATGGAGTTGTGAGCTTGAAAGGTTGGGCAATTCTATGAAGTCAAAACAAAACTGAAAATGTTTTCTCCGTATTTTTCCCTTTTGTACTTTATTTTTCAAAAAGCACCCACCCCCCCCCCCCCCCCACCCCCGGCAAAAAAAAGAAAGAAAGAAAACTCCACCTAAATACTGTTAAGGACCCTTGAAATGTTGCTGCTATTTGTGGGTGAAAACTTTGTAATTCATTCAGTGCTTGGCATTTACATAAGAACCGTATCTTTAATACTAGTTAATTCAGTTGTTTATATGAGGTAGCAGTTGGTCAGAAACCGATTCTATGTTTACCATAGAAATGAACTTTTCATTGAATATTTTAGTTCTAAATTTTGAAAGTTTGCACCTCTAGACAAGGATATGATGAGTGGGCTTTGTTTCTCAGAAAACAGGGGAAATTGGAATGTATGGATTCAAAACATTGGAACTTTTAAATTATGGTTTGCCAGTCTCATTTCACTAATCTTTGAGATCATGCTAGAAAATTTGCTGGGTAAATTGGTTCATCTTTCATTTCTTAAGAATTCTTCTTTTGTACTTAAAAATCAGATTTTTAAATATTATTGAAATTAATATAGGAAGGCAGTGCAATTAAATGCCTTAGGAATAGAGAGCTGCATAATATATGTACTTAAATTCCTTTTTCCTCATGGATGCTAAATTGGCAGAGGAACATTTGAAGGTGATTGTTGAAAATATATGTTCCTACAAATTAGAGGATATTGATAATTTTGTAATTTGGTAATGTTCCAAAAGTCTTTTTCCCTAAACATTTTCAGTAAGACTTAAGTGATTCTGAAAAGGAGATAATATGATTTTTGTGACCTTGTTAGGCTTTTATACACATTAAGAATTGTTAATCTTGAGGACTGTATAAACTAATTGAGAAGTGACTCAGGAATAGATCTGAAAAGGTAACTCAAAAGTAAAGTCTTATTTAAGAAGAACAGCACATTGGTTTAGTTTTTAAGCACTTGCAGCTCTGCAGTTCTTTAAACGAGGTAGCTTTTTGCAGAGGCATCACCTCTGCGACCCACTTTGGCAGCCTTTATCCAAGGTCTTCCTTGCTGATGATAAAAGCCTTGAGGTTGTTACTCCTTAGTATAGCTGGTATTAGTTAACTGTTGAAGTAACTACACAATAAAATTTCGGAGATTTGAAGAGAAAATACACTATTGATTAGTCTGATACTCTGATGTATTTCACAGAATGGAGATTTTGGGCAGTTTTACTTGTTAAACCCCCCTGGGAGAAGAGATGGCTGGCTAGCGTTTTCTTGCATTGCAGTAGTTGAAACTCACCCTGGTTTGCAAGAAGCATCTCAGCACTAACAAAGGCCATTGTCTATCTGCAAGGCTGTGCAAAAGACTCTACTTAATTGCCTGACTTGCTTTAGTGATTTAAATATGACCTGTGCCCAGGCCATGGAAAGTGTTAACCAGTTTAATCCTCTGATCCCAGGGTGTTCAGATACTCTGAAACTCCAAAATCATTTAAATGATCAATGTGTTTGACTTTTGGTGGAATATGAAACATGTTCATATTACAAGCAGCAGTTCCTGGACCTAAGCATAATAAAGGACAAGCATAATGTTTTTTTAAATATTTTATTTTTTAGTTTTCAGTGGACACAACATCTTTATTTTATTTTTATGTGGTGCTGAGGATGGAACCCAGCGCCCTGCGCTCAGCCAGGCAAGTGCGTGACCGCTTGAGCCACATCCCCAGCCCCAAGCATAATGGTTTTTAAAATGCTGAGGAAAGAAAACAAAAGTAGTCTTTCCTAATGAACACACAGATTGTTGACTTTTTTTTTTTTTTTTTTAAGCACAGCAGATGATTTGAACAGTGCCATCCAGTTGCAATTTTCTAATTCCCTAACTGTTGTGAGCCCCTGCCCTCTAGGGTGTCAGTTGAATGTCACTGTATTGCTTAGGAGGCAGTGTACTCTTGGAGATGATGTTCAGCAGCAGTTCAAGACTCCTGTGGTACTGGGGATTAAACCACTGAGCTGCATCCCAGCACTTTTAAATTTTTGTTTAAAGAGCCTGGCCTTGAATTTGGGATCCTCCTACCACAGCCTTCCAAGGAGCTGGGACTATAGGCATACACTACTGTGCCCACCAGAAGACTTTTTTTTAAAAAAATCACACAATCAGAAGGATTGCACTTCTCATGTCTTTACTTGTCAGTAGTAGAAGGCAGCAGTGAAATCTGAAGCATCATTCAGGTCATTCTGTTGTATATGGGGAGATGGGATACACTGGAGCAGAAACCAGGCATCTCCTTAGAACCAGGGAAAGGGCCATGGGCCCAACCATGCTTATTCAATGGTAGAAGCTCGTAAGTCTTTGAAACTACATCCTTTTGTGACTTGTGACCTGTCCTACGAAATGCCTATCTTGATGGTGAGGATTAATTACTGACCCTGGAGCAGGGAAATGTTTTGTGTTGTACAGGCTCAAAGTTTCATTTAATTTATAGTTGGGGCTATTCATAGTTATAAAGGAGATAATACTGTGGATGAGAATTGCATTGTAGGTGAGAAAACTCCAAAGTCTTATTCAAGATAAATATGATTGATTTCATTTCCTTGGAGCTAGAAATCTGGGATAAGTTGTGTTTTAGGATCAGACCTCTTTAGCTGAAGCATGGGTCTTGACGATTTATATGAAATCTTTAGTTTTTCCACTAAAGTAGGATCTAACAACATCCCTTGCCTAGCAGAGAGTGGGTGTCACTGATGTTAAGTCTTAACAGCAATGGAAAACTGAAAATATAGGAACAAATATAGAGTATGTGCTCTGAATTTTATTAAAGTGTGCTGTTAGCCTGTGAAATTTTTTTTTTAAATTTTTTTATGAATAGACTTCCCCTTAGGTTTAGAAAACCATTGAGAACAGTGGACAGTGTTTTACAGCTCCATCCTGACTTAAGAAAATTGTGTCATCTTAAAGCCTGAAGTACATGTAATATCAGCAGTTACAGTTGAGATGGGAGGGTGTGGTATGGAAACAATTAAAGTGGTCAGAAAGTGAAGGTCTGCCTGCTGGAGATTTTGCAAAGAAACCAGAAAATTCTTGATAACATTTTTATGGTTTATGTATTTTGAAGAAAATCACATGGTGATTTGTAGGAAAGCTTAATGCTACAGAGATTTAGGATTTTGTGATTGGATTAAGGTCTCTTCCCTCCCAATCTGTCATAGATACCGGTCTGTATCATGAAGAAAATAAAGAATTCACTCAAGTAATATGTGACTTGGGGAGGGGGGTGCTGGGGATTAGAACCCAGGGCCTTGTGCA